TTGCACAGACTTATAGTTGCATTAGCTACCACAACCCCATTAGGATCTTTTGTTAGGGAACTGATCTTTCTACTGTCTGCCTTACCTACTAGCTCCACCGACCCTGCAATGCAAGTAGGCAGATTGTCTCTTAGGGTTTAGGGTGTAGGGGTTTTGGGTTTAGGGTTTGGGGTTGGCAAAAAATCCGTCTACGTGTGTCGGCATCTGGATCAATCCCGAGAAGCGCCTTGCACAACGCCCAGCAGCACCTACCAGCCCCCAAGGGCAGGCGTTCTTCACGAACGCTCCTAAAATAAAAAGGATTTAGGGTTCAGGGTTAAGGGTAAAACTCTAAAACTCAAAAAGCCCTAAAACCCCAAACCCCTTGAGAGCCTAAAACACCTAGAGAATAATTTAGAAAAAACTTACGCTGGTCTACCTGGGCCGAAGCCCAGAATCCTGATCCCCAAGGCTCTCAACCCGGTTCTGTCGTATGTCATTCTTGATTATAGTGGCTATAGAATCCTCATGCTGGTTGAGGGTTTCGGGTTCTAACCCACATAGACCCCTTTCAAAGGAACCGTTAACGGAAGCCTGTCTGCTTCTTAAGCCCCTATGCAGTTCTAGGTTTTCTCGACCCGCCCAACTTTGGCCGCTGCTGGAGCATTCGGGAGACTTTATAAGTCACCGTTTGCGGATCCTTGTGAAATGGAGACCGCCTGAAGTGCCTAAGCTGGATACACTTTTGCCCTGCCTGGGACATTAAACGATCCATGGTAATTAAAACTGAGAGGTTGTGTGTTTTGTGTTTTGTAGATCAGAGACTCAGAAACTACATAAACCTCAACAGCACTCCAAGGTCGTGCATGTGACTGATTCTACCCGCCCGCCGCTACTCCAAGCAGACCCCACGAAAACCATAACAAACACGAACGAAGGCCAACCCTCAAACCTCAAACCTCAACCCTAAACCCTGAACCCTGAACCGTAAACCCTGAACCCTAAACCCCAAACCCTAAACCCTGAACCCTGGACCCTAAACCCTGGGCCCTGAACCCTAAACCCTGAACCCTAAGGCCTAAACCCTGAGCCTCCTTCAGCCTTTCCGCACGGAGCCATCGACCTGAACACCCGACGGCCCTGCACCCGACAATCCCAAACTTCAACGCTTGGCACTGGCCGTGCTAAGCTGCCCCAGACCCTATAACCTCAAACCTCAAACTGAGCCCATAGACCCCACTCTAAACCTTAAGACCCGAAAGATTAATTGATTTACCAAGCTCTTCACAAGGCTACTACCTATCTACTTCCTATCTTACCTCTCGTCCCCATGGTTAAACCAAACAAGGAACTGCAATGTAGACTATGGGTAGGCTGTAGGATAGACCTTAAACCCGAAACCCTAAACCTTAAACCCAAAAAGCCCAAAAGGGGCTCAGGGCTTCTACTTCCTACCTTACTGGGTTCTTGTTAAGGGATTTAATTTAAGTTACCATAATAAGGAAACCATATTATTTACTATAGATCCCTATTATGGTAACTTAAATTAAATCCCTTAACCCTAAACCCTAAACCCTAAACCCTAAACCCTAAATCCCTTAACAAGAACCCAGCTTATGGGCGACTTCTTATCTTATGGCCCTAAATCCTCAAAGACCTAAACCCTAAAAGCTCCAAAGGCCCCAAAGGCCCTCAAGGCCCTAGACCCTAAACCCTAACCCCTAAACCCCTAAACCCCTAAACCCCTAAACCCTAAACCCTAAACCCTAAACCGACCCTCTGGTCTACTGAAAGCCCGGTGCTCCCCGAGCTCTGGCAGGCGGATGGCTCCATTCGCACCTGGGGGTCCCAAGAGCTGGGTGGCGACGACAGCAGCGTCCGACCCTTGGGGGTGTAGGGTTTGGGTTTAAGGGACAGGGTTCTGGGGTTAAAGGAGTAGGTTTAGGGTTCAGAATTTAGGCGAATAGGGTTTAGGGTAGGGTTTAGGGGTTTAGGGTTTAGGACTAGGGTTTAAGGGAATGGGTTTAAATTTCAGGGTTCAGGGTTTAAGGGAATAGGGTTTGGGTTTAAAGGGAATGGGTTTAGGGTTCAGGGTTTAGGGGAAGAGGAGGTTGAATCTGTCGCTCAGAATTTGGGTCTGGAGTTGGGTATCGATGGATAAAAGTAGATAGTGTTAATAGATAGACAGGAGGATAGATAGGGACTCAGAAAGCAGGCATGTTGTTGACGGCTGTAGATGGATAGCCAGTCACGTAGGTAGATGGACATATAGATAGGACAAGGTAAGGTAAGGTTAGGTTAGATAGACCGAAAGATTGGTTGATGGGTAGATGCATGCACTGGTTGGTTGTTCGACGACAGAGAGATACAGACAATAGTAGGGCCAGAATTGAGTGGAATCATGGCCTCATTTCTTGTCAGTATCTTTCTAATAACTACCACTGTGCTGCTAGCAAGTCGTGCTAAGCATTCTTGTGCTTATGAAGACATGCATGACGAAAGTGATGAGTAAAGCTATAATCCATGTACAGCTGCATGTGTCACACAGGTACATACGAGGCGTACAGCGTATATATATATATATATATGTATACATATATATAGAAAGTTAGATCTAGCTGTATCTAGCTACGTATGTATATACAGATGCACACATCTATACATAAATATATATATATATATATGTGTGTGTATATATATATATAACTACACATAGATAGATCGATTCATGGGTAGATAGGTACATAGACAGATAGACAGATCGATAGATAGATAGAAACCATGAGCGTGAGAGCACGAGAGACACAGAGAGAGAGAGTGTGTGTGTGTGTGTGTCTGTGTGTGTGTCTTCGCATGAGTACAGAGGCCGGTGTTCTGTACTGTAAAGTTGGGCTGTTGCTTTAGACCTTCTGTTGCTGGTTCGGAAGTGTGATATTGGCACATGACGGTTAAAGAGCTTCATCTCCCATCTCCACCTAAAGCCTACACCCAAACCCCTCAACCCTTAAACCCTACGCCACTGAAGCCCTAAACGCCTGAACCCTAAACCTCAAGCCCTTTCGTCTCTGTCATCCGGTACTTTGTGCGCCACATGATTCTTGCTGGCAAGCTGCTGCCGAACTCCTGTGCGACGCACATCTTGATTCTTAACCTACTCCCTGTTGGGCTACAAGATCCACCTGTGGCGTTTCTTCTGCTGGCCGTGTGCGCGAGGGTTGTGGAGATGCTCCCGTGTGAGGGTCGCGAAGTCCGTGTCGGAGGATGGGTCAGTTTAGGGTTTTGGGTTTAGGGTTTAGGGTTTAGGGTTTAGGGTTTTGGGGTTTAGGGTTTGGGGATGGAGGGAGTCATGTCGATGCTGAGGGGTATCAATCTGAGGAGGGCTAGTTTCACTTGTGGAGGGCGCAATGGCCGGTGCGCGGGGGAGAGTGAGGGTTAGCACACGTCCACGTCAAAAGGAACCTTAGGCCCTAACCCCTATAAGCCCTAAACTCTAACAACCCTCAGTCTGAAAAACTTTAACGGACCGCACACGGAAGCTTCGTCAAGTCGGGGCGGCCCTTCTAAGGGGTCCTATTACTGAGTGACGACATTACGACCCCTTCTTCTCGGCTAAAACCTAAGTCCCTCTAGGCTACGATCCCCCAAATCCTGCCAAACAAGAGGCCTTGCCTTAATTCCAGCCCCAACCCTTGTCTGCCGAAGGAACGTTCTAGGCGAGAGCCGATCCCTGATAGCCCCCCACGCACCCCAAACCTTATCACCAGCAACCCCTATACCCAGAACCCTAAAACCCCTAAGCCCTAAACCCTAAAACCCTAAAACCCTAAACCCTAAACCCCAAACCCTAAACCCTAAACCCTAAACCCTAAACCCTAAACCCTATACCCAGAACCCTAAAAGCCGAAACCCTCAAGCTGCTCAGCAGCCGGTGATGTGACCCGAGTCCTCTCTCCGCTGTCGCAAGATGGCCAAGCGAATGGCCGAGTCCGGCAAGCACGTTTAGGGTTTAGGGTTTAGGGTTTAGGGTTTAGGGTTTAGGGTTTAGGAGCAGAGGCATCGAAGACCGTGGTCACGTGTGATGAAGCCACGTGCAACATCGATCAGATCCTGCATGGCAACTGCAGATGGCAGACATGGAGATGCCCATGTGCTGCGGAGCACTCCTCCGCAAAAACTACAACTTCTGCCCTTTCTGTGGGACGGCTGCGTATTTCTCGCCCGCGCCCATCTACGCTGCCGCTGGACCGACGCCTGTGACCGTACCACCTGCACCAGTCTATGCTTCTCCGACCTTGAACCTTAAAGCCTTAAAGCCTAAATCCCACAACCCCCCCCCCAGCTTCCCTTCGAAGACCCGAAGCTCGAACACATCTGTGACTGAGGGGCTGAGTAGGTAACCTTTAACCTTTTGGAGCTTATATAATCCTACTATACCCAGAGGGTCCATATACACTGCCATTATGGAATTAGGTCCCAAAAGACCATCCTTATTATGGTTTTGGGGACCTAATTCCATAATAGTGGTACCTAAACCCTAAACCCTAAATCCTAAACCCTAAACCCTCTTGGAGAATTCAAAAGCTTAACCTTTTTGGGCTAGGCCCTAAACCCTAAACCCTAAACCCTCTTGGGTAATTCAATCGGTTAACCTTTTTTGGGCTAGGGTGCTCAGCCCCTAAGGCGAAGGTAGGTTCTCTGGCGGTGCCCTGATTTATATGCTTTAGTGTTCAGGGTTTTAGGGCTTAGGGTTTTAGGGTTTAGGGTTTTAGGGTTTAAGGGTTTAGGGTTTAGATTTCAGGGTTTAGGGTTTTAGGGCTTAGGGTTTAGGGTTTAGTATTTAGGGTTGAGGGTTAAAGGGTTTAGGGTTTAGCGTTCAGGGTTTAGGGTTTGAGGGTTTAGGGTTTTAGGGTTTTAGGGGTGAGGGTTTAAGGGTTTAGGGTTTGATTAGCGTTCAGGGTTTGGGGTTTTAGGGTGTCGGATTTAAGATTTGGGTTTCAGGGTGTAGGGTTCAGGGTTTCTATATGAATTTCTACATCTTCCAGGCGTTTTCTTTCTGTTCTGTGAAGGTACGAGACCAGCTGCAAGATGTTCAGAAAGTTGTTGGCACAGCCGGTGCCTTTGCTGCCATCCGCGCCGACGGTCGAGTGATGCCTGGCTGGCGATTTTTTGTTAAAAAAAGAAGTAAATAAAGGTATATGTGCACATATATTTATGTAGATTCAGAGACAGATACGGATGTACATGCTACTCCCAGATGAAGCCCGAGGCTGTCTTACTTTGAACTCAGTGCATTTCGGTTTTGAGGCATCTCGTTCATGTCGGCTTGCTGCCTACTCAGTATGTCACGCAAAGCAAGTTGCAGTCGGGTCCTGTTGCGGTCAGCAGAAAAGACGTAATTACTAGCCTGCCACAGCAACCAGACCCTAAACCCTAAACCCTAAACTAGGTAACTAGGTAGTATTATTAGGGGTACCCCTTAAAGCGTACCCCTTCTGAACCCTACTTTTGGCTCTCTTAAAAGGGACCTTATTGAGAGGGTCTATATCCCCAAGGGTCCCCCTAATCCTAGCTCCCTTAAGCCGCTTGGAGGGTTAGTCATTGCCACCAGGACCGTAGCAATCTCCTTCTCGTCGGCAGATCTCGGCACTCAAACCCAGACTCCAAAGCAAAGGAGCACCAATCCTGATATGAGCCTCAACCAAAGATCTCAGGAGCATCCAAGAAGTTCTTAGTGGCTGAATGAGTACCCTTCACAGATTTTGGGATAATACGACCCCAGAACTGAAAGTTTATACAGTTTTCTGGGCATATGAACTCAGCAACTAGGAATTCGAGTAGGAACCCTCACATGGCTTAGGGTAGATTCCTTAAGCCGGGGCTTTTGGAGTGTCTGGGCTTCAGTTCTCATGAGCCCCAACATATTGCGTCTTTGAAGTGCTTAAGATTTCGGATGCACGGTTCAGGATTTAGGCAATCAGGTTTAAGGATTGGGATATAGAGCTTGGGGTTTTGGTGGGCCCCTACTCCCAAACTGTCAAACCCGCAGCAAGGATTACGTGGGGCGATGCTGAGTTTGGTGGTGACAGCCATGGGGTGCAAGATCAACTTTGTGAGGCTCCTGGGCGCACGATGTTTTGATTTATGCGGGTATTCTAGGGTCGAATTACATGAAAGGGGTCATAGGGTTGCGAGAAGGGTGCAATTACGGGTAAGATAAGGGTATCGTTCGCTTCCTTGTAGTATCGCATACCCTGGTGGCTGATTTCTAAGTTTATGACCCTTCGACTAGCCTACGAATGACACTATACCCCAACCCTGAACCTTGAACCGTAAGCCCGAAACCCTAAAAGCCAAGCCACTATAGGACCTTATTATAGAGCCTGAAACGAAACCCGAAAACCTCACCACCCAATCGAAAAACCGAGGTTCAGGAGGTCTGTGCAACAAGCGCGGCCTTCGCTGCTCTGAAAGCCGATGGATCCTAGGTTCCCCAGTACCCTTTTGCCCTGTTTATTTTGGAGTCCCACTGTTAAACTAAACTCGGGTTTAGGGTTTAGGGCTTTAGGGCTTTAGGGCTTTAGGGCTTTAGGGCTTTAGGGCTTTAGGGCTTTAGGGGTTTCGGGGTTTAGGGGTTTAGGGTTTAGGACCCAGTATTCAGGCAAAAGGGCACCCTTATTAGTAAAGGGCTAGTTGGGAACCCCCCAACCCTAAAGTGAGCGCTTAAAGGGGACTTGATTATAGAACCTTTAAAGGGGACCTTATTTTGGAACCCTATAGAACCCTTAAAGGGGACCTTGTTAGAGAACTCTATAGTACCCTTTACAAGGATCGGTGATCTGCTGGGGCAATCCAGAGGCCGGTGGTGATTGCGCCGAAGCAGCTTGGATCTGGACCTAGGGTTCATATAAATCCTGCATTACCTTAAGGACCCTAAACTATGGGGGTTGTGGTATATCCCTGCATTACCTTAAGGACCCTAAACTATGGGGATTGTGGTATATTCCTTATTATGGGTAATGCAGGGTTTATATCATCAACCGTAGGGTGTAGGGCTTTAGGCCTTGAGGTTTCGGGCGCTTGTTGGGTTTAGGGGTGTAAGGTTTAGTCCTGAGGGTTTAGGGTTTAGGGTTTAGTTGTTTTTTGCTTGAAGGGTCAGGGTTCAGGGTTAGGTTTCAAGGCTCAGTGGTGTTTTAAGGCGTAGGAATTAGGAATTTGGGTGCAAGGGTTCAGCGTTGTGCCGGTAGTTCGGTTGAAGCTGAACGAAGATCCGAAACGCATTGCCGGTAGTCCTGCTCAAGCCCTAAACCTTAAACCCTGAACAAAGCCTAAACCCCGAACCCTGAACCCTAAACCTCAAACCCTCAAAAGCCCTAAACCCTAAAAGCCCTAAACCCCAAACCCCTAAAAGCCCTAAACCCTAAACCCCTAAAAGCCCTAAGCCCTAAACCCTAAAAGCCCTAAGCGGAAGATCCGAAACTGCAACGCTTGTTTTGCGCACCCCTCAACCCCAAAGTTAAAACTTGGAGTTCGATAGAACCGGGGTGCTCCAAAACTCAAGCCTGTCGTGCCTTCCGGTGGCATGATGAGCATTTAGGGGTGTAGGGTTTAGGGTTCAGGGTTTAGGGTTTAGGGGTTTAGGGTTTAGGCTTAAGAGCACATCAAGCACTGAGATGATGAATGAATGAGTCGACTGTCCTGCTCCCCGTCTTCGTCGTTTTCTGGCCTCGCTCTCCGGCTCCCCTCCTCTTCTCAATCTCTTTTCTCCTGCTGCACTGCCTTGTTTGTCGGGGGTCGTTGAAAAGTTTGCAACGTGAAACACAGAACCTTCTCAGAAACATATTTTTCAACGTTGCTTCTCAGAGGGTGTCTCCGGAGACCCCCCTCACAAACTTGCCTGGTCTGAGAAAAAATGAGGCTGATATTATGAATCCTACCTGGGGCTCAGCACTGCGACCAAAAGGCTGAAAATTACTACGAATCCCACATGGGGCTCATTTTTCTGACTAGACCCCAGAGCCCTCTTCGAACGATGCAGGCTCCCAGCTATGCGATTCCGAACCACTAGAAGCCCTAAACCCCTAAACCTCTAAACCCTAAACCCCAAGCCCTGAACTCCGAAACTCTAAAGCCTAAACCCCTAAACCCCAAAACCCTGAACCTCTAAACCTCTAAACCCTAAACCCTAAACCTCTGAATCCTAAACCCTAAACCCTAAACCCTAAACCCTAAACCCTAAACCCTAAACCCTCATAGTTCCCAAAGTTCAGCCCCGGGTGTCCCCTAAGCCGAAGCCCTCCACCTCAGAGCGAAACCCTAACCCTGGACCCTCAACTTAGGGTTTAGGCGTAGAGTTTGGGGCTTAGGGTCTAGGGTCTAGGGGCTAGAGTTTAGGGTTTAGGGTGTAGGGTTTAGGTTTAGGGTTTGGGGCTTAGGGCTTTGGGGTTAGAGTTTAGGGTTTTAGGGCTTTGGGGTTAGAGTTTAGGGCTTAGGGTTTTTTGGTTTAGAGTTGAGGGTTGAAGGCCTTGGCGGAAGATTGCACTTCAAGGAGGATTGAAGAACAGAAGGCACCGAGAAACTGATACAGGGGCCTAAGTAATTACAAAGCCCCATTGTGGGGGTTCCGTAGTATTATCATTATAGTTTCAATATACACCAAAACCCTATACAAATTACTAAGTAAGGCCCCCTATATTAAGTAAAGCCTCGACCGTAAACTTACAGCCACGCGCAGCAGAGGGAGGCTAAACCCAGAAAGCCACACACCCCTTAATTACAGAATATACCTTAAACTATACGGGCCTTCATGTTCTGGTTTAAGGCATATTCCTGAATTAAAGGGTATTGGGCTCTCTGGGAACCATATACCCTAAATCTTAAACCCCCTAAAGCCCATCCCAAACCCTACAACTTCTAAACCTGACCTGGGCCTTACAGAGAACCTGACTTGTTAAGGACGTATAGTCAAAATAAGGAACCCTAAAAAGGTAGGTTCTTTAGGGCCCAGGTCAACCCTAGACCCTAAACCCTAAACCCTTAAACCCTTACACCCTAAACCCTAAACCCTAAACCAAAACCCAAAACACTAGACCCTAGGGTTTGCTGCAACCAGGCAGGCCTCTCGCAGGAAGTGGGTGCTTTGCGTGGATCGCGCCTGGCCTTCTCTGCGATCCTCGCCGATGGTTCGGTCAGAACCTGGGGAGACAAGGATCCTCGGTTCATATATATATATATATATGT